TATTAGACCTTTCCTCAGAGGTCTCATAGCAAAAGCAAATTGTTTTCAGCTGTCAAGAGATAAGAAGTGTTTGAAGAAGATCTGTTGAAAGTTTATCATAAACCTCACCTTGAGACTCAGGCACTTTATAGTGCTCTCATGAAGACACACATGGGCCCAGCAATAATCACAGTCTTAGTTGTTGAAGACCAGAACAAGGGTTGTGTCATACAACTGGGACTGAAAAGTCTGGAGAGCTAAAGTCTTACTGAGATCTCAGGAAAAGAGCATCTGAGGATTTGTTTAATATGAAATGGCATGTTGGGCCTAATCTTGGTACCCAGAGACTGAGGGTGTCCCATTTTCAGTTATTTTCAGGTTATCTTGTTGTTTCTGGGAATGGATAATAGATAATCTGGTCTCTTGCTGCTGTAGTTCCACAAAAGTAAAGTGCTTTTACAGCACCCCTTTTTTACAGTATCTCTTTCTAGGTGACCTATAGAAGTGACAGACCAAGACTATGTTTGGGATGCCAAGCAGATCAGTGAGGTTCAGCCAGAAAGGCACAAGAGAAGGGTAGGTCCTAGCAGCACAATGTATGAAGCAGAAGTGACTGATCATTTCTGGTTTTCTTTCTAGGAGCAATGCTGCCCACAGCACCTCCTAAACCTCTTTACTACCATGTCCTCTACCGAGGACATGGAGAAACCCAGGTGAGCTGGCATGGAGAAACCTACTGCCTGGTTGGTGGCTACAGGGCCTATGGGGATGCTGCCATCCCCACCCCAGCAAAATCCACTCCAGAGAAGTCAGCATCCCTGAGGGCCTATGGAGATGCTTCCACTGCCACTGCTACAAAGGCCAAAGCTGAACAGCCATCATGCAAGCGGGCTCTCAAGAGACCTCAACACATGGGAGAATATAATGAACACTTAGGGTACCCCAGGCCCAAAATGCGTTGCTTGAACAATGGCAACAAGGACCAACAACACATTGTTGGTTGAGCCATGCCATTAAGACTTAGTCTAGTAGAGGCCTAGTCTACCAGATGGACTCCTGACTCCATCATAAGCAGCAATCACCAGCATAAACAAGGATAATATGGCTTTCTTAAATTGTGCTCTCAGAAATACCCGCTAAGACTTCCATCTCCTTTCTTCCCTGCCCTTAATATCCCCTGAGGGCTTCTCATTGTTGAATAAAATTATTTTCTGTAACAGTTTTTGACTGGAAATTCAACTTGTCCAAGGCCATTCTCAAACTTTTCAGTTCCCTTATGTGCACTCATACAAGAGACCTGTTCTTCTAAGGATTTCTGACTTCAGTTGGGATCCATGGTTATAGTTTCTAATGGTGTGATCTCTGCAATGATGCCTAGAAGACTTGTACCAAGTCCCAGGCCAGTTCTTGAAGAAATGGGGAGCCTCGGGTGGGGTTGTATCTCAGTGGGAAAGCATGTGCTTAGCATGTGTGAGGACCTGCATTCAATGCTCAGCACCAAAAAAGTAAAAATAAACAGGAGCCTGTTGGGTGGTTCTCTGTGTGTATGAGTGTGTGTGTGTGTGTGTGTGTGTGTGTGTGAGTGAGTGTGATAAAACAACAAAAAAGAGGAGCAGAGCTGAGAAAATGTTGAAACATCCATCAGTCTACACATCTAAATCAGACATTGTGCTAGCTGCTTGGGACATATTCGTCAATGAGATAGTCAAGGTCCCACTCTATAAGCACAAAATAACTCAAAGCTGAGACAAACAATACAACATCAGGATCTGTGATTATAGTTCAGTGGTAAATTTCCTAGCAAATGAAAGGCCTTGGATTCAATCCCCAGCAGTACCAAAAAAAAATTTTTTTTAAATTGGGCTGGGGATTTAGCTCAGTGGTTCCACCGCCTGCCTCTCAAGTGCAAGGTCCCGAGGTCCATCCCTGGTACCAAAAAAATAAAATAAAATAAATAAAATTATTATACTCACTATTAAAAAAAACAAAATATTACAAGGCAAGACTGATGAAGGATGCCTTGTTACACCAAGCAATCACGGGAGCTTATTTGAAAAGATTTTCAGCAGAGAGAGTGAGGAGGACCTATGACAGTTGATAGATTTTCCTCCAATTTAGGGTGGCTGCTGTATACAATAGCTACCTTCTTTCCAACACGCCCCTACTCCCACCAAAAGAGTAACCTAATACTTGCTCTCCTTCTAGCAACTCGTGACGTCACAGGCTCCTCCAGTCCCTAGCCACTACCTCACTCAACCCCACCTCAGCTCCTACAACCCCCTATAAAAGGCACTTGCTGTCCTGGCCATATTGCTTTTGTCTCTCCTTTGTTCATAGACAGCCCGGCAAATCTGTTCCCCTAATAAAGGCTTGTTGTGGCCTGGTCTGGTCTTGGTTTTCAGCCCTTTTACCTGACAATAGTGATGGCAAAACTTTTAGTTTTGTGCCTAAACTGCAATCCAAAATCCATTTATTTATTGTAAAATGCCAACACTGTAATTAAACCTGAATACTGAGGTTTTAGTTTAGAAAAAAACAACTGTTTTCCAGTGCTCAGCTGCTAAGGCAACTTGGATCACATGCTGACAGATATGACACATGCCATAGGTTTACCAACACTGGCATATAGGAGCTAGAGCACACCACTCCTAAAAGAAATACATGTGTGAACACCCTGAGGTAGAGCCAAGCATAGTGGCTGTATCAATCCCTGAGACACAGTACCCAACACCTGAAAATAAATGTGTAGAATTTTGTTTTGGTTCACTGTTTCAGTAGGGTCAGTTCAGTGTTAGCAGGCTTCAGAGCATGGTGAAAGAGTATGGAGGACCTCTAACATGGCTGACTAGAGGAGGGGTCATGTCAGAGATACTCAGAGACGATTTATTGAAATCTGAAGTGGAGGAGGGAGTTACAATCTGAAACGGAAAATTAATCTGAAAGAAGATATATCTAGATCAACTCTAATACCTGGATATTTTAAAGGAGGAAGTGTCTCCACCATAGCTCATACACACACCTCCACCCCCACTCCTGTGGAGAGAAGCCATCTTGAAAGTGTGAGACCAAAGCGACTCCATTTTGCTAAAATCCACTATTCCCCTAGGCTCTCACAAATTAATGGTTAAAATGTGCATGCTCTGGGACAAAAGACACAATCTGTACCGAAGCAAAGTTCCTAAGTTAATTACTCAACTATCTGTTTGCCCAGGAAATGAATGTTCCGGGTCCACTATCTATAGAACAATCTGTCAATGTGCTGACCATCAGTACGTGACAATCGACCACTAACCTTTGTCCCTCATTTCCCTTGTAAAACCTACATGTAACCGCCCCTCAAACCCCCGATGGGCCTAGCCAATCAGAAATATACACTTCAGGAAAGGAAAAAATGATGAGAAATGGAAAAAATGGAAATAAAGTCTTTGTAAATAGGGAAGGGTGGAGGGCGTGAAGGGAGGGCTAGGAA